GTGACCTGGAGGGGTCACGTGACCTCGGGGGGTCACGTGACCTCAGAGGGGTCACGTGACCTCAGAGGGGTCACGTGACCTGGGGGTCACGTGGGGTCACGTGACCTTGAGATGACCTTGGAAGGGGTCACGTGACCTTGGGGAGGCGACCACGTGACCTCGGGGGTCACGTGACCTTGGGGAGGCGACCACGTGACCTCGGGGGTCACGTGACCTCAGAGGGGTCACGTGACTTGGGGGTCACGTGACCTTCAAAGGGTCACGTGGGGTCATCTTGGGGTCACGTGACCTTGAGATGACCTTGGAAGGGGTCACGTGACCTCGAGGGGTCACGTGACCTTCAGGGGGTCACGTGGGGTCACGTGACCTTGAGATGACCTTGGGAGGGGTCACGTGACCTTGGGGGTCACGTGACCTTGGGATGACCTTGGTTACGCCGACGGCGACGCCGCTCAAGCCGGGAACGGGCCCCTAAGAGCTGCGCTCTAAAAGTTATGGTGCCGTGAAATGTTCGATAAGGAAATGACGACTGTGCAAAGTAGCATTGTGAAATCTTCTCAATTTCCACGCCTCAAGCTTCTCTATTTTATATCTCAGCGAAAAAAATTGTTACGGCGTTCATATCTAGCTGAATGTTCCTCCCAAGAACATGGCTTTCATATATATTTTTAACAAAAATATCTAAATTATGACCCGGACCATCATTGCATGAACTGACGTGGAATCACCCCATAGCAGCCGTCCGCCAAAAATCTGGCGCGTCGAACGACAGGAGGCGAGCCGTGGAAAGGGGGAGGGGGATGTACTGCTCGTGAAAGCGGCGTCTATGGGCAGTACCGTAACTGAACTAGTAACTGACCCAATCGTAGTCTGTTTTAAACCAGTTCGCCTCTTCTCTAGCTTTAGCGCTTTGAATTGGTTGCCAAGCTTTATGCGAAGCATGGACGTCCCGGTGACTCGCGACCATAACTCGATGTAAAGTCTGGTTCGCACGGCACCGTTTTCTTACGTCCCGGTGCCTTGTGGCGTAAGGAGACGTAGGCTTCTGTAGCGTAATGCAACGTCAATAAACGTGGTTGTGCGAACCAAACTTAAGCCCTAAAAACGTAGTCAAACGGTACGGAAACGGTACTGCGTGAATAGGGGCATTTAGCGAACCGATAATGTGTTGCGTGTACCGCAATACCGGAGCATTTGAAGCATACTTCGAAGCATACTATTAAAGGGGCTGTGCAACGACATTGGGTAGGAATATTTCTTACTTTACACCAACTTCCTGGCACTAGTGGGACCCAAGAAAACTCGAACGGAACACCACTGACCAAGAAGCGTCTTCGTCGCGGCGGAATTCAAAGGATGAAAGCGGAGCTTTTCTTTCAGTCTCTCCTTCCAAAGCCGCCTTTCGCTCCTTCGCGAAATTTGATGACGGAGCTGTGGGGACAATGGCAACAGTACAATCCCCGGGAATGCGTCATCGAGCTTTGTGGTGACGATATTCAAATGCTGCTCACACAGTGGACGCGAAGACTGCGTACGCATTCGATCTGGGATCGTGACAATCGATACCTCGACATGCATCCGGGTAGTGGCCCGTGTCCAACCGCTGCAACGACGACAATAGCCGAGCCACAACAATGTCTTGAACTCAGCGCGTGTCCTGTGCTTTGCCAACCCCAGCGCTTGGCTATGATCAACATTGGCGGAATATAATCGGCTCCAGATCACGTGGCCGCTTGTTATGGCTGCGAGTTGAGGGGGTAAACGGTGCACGTTTTTCTTTATTTTTTTTTTCTGAGACTTATATTGCGAGCGGTACGCGGAATATGGTAACGGTTCGCTAAAAGTCCCCAATGTGTCCTTATATCTACACGATGTCAGAGCAAGCGTGCTTGCACACACGGTTTCAGAGTGCTTGGGAGGCAAGTGGGACGAGAAGAAGCAAGTGCGTCGGAGCTAGGAAACGGGGAGTTGCAGAATAGCAGGGATAAAGCTGGAGTTGTGCGATTACGAGAGAAGTGAACTTCGCGTTTCACTGCGGCTGGGGCCCCAGCTTTGGCAGGGTTTTATGCGACAGAGCCGTCATAGCGAAACAAGCCCTCCACCGCCGTCCCCCATTCCCTCCCTCGCTCTTAAAGGGGCACTGACACCCCAAAGGTCGTATTTATTTTTATTGTCTAAAACGATGCAAGTTGCAGTCATAGACACGCAAAAAAAACCGCATCGCGAAAAAAAATTTTCCTGCGCACGCGCGCGCCTTTTTATTTTGGGCGTTTGATTTTCCCGCCTCTCGCCTCCTCGCTTCTTTTGATCGGTGACGTCAAAAATCAGGAAATTTAGAAGCTTTGTAGGCGACATCTCTAGAACATTTAATTACGGCAATCCTAAAACATGTTTTTTAACGCAATTGCGAACGCACTACGGCCCTTCTTTTTGAAATACCAAAAATCGGGAGTTCGTTGTGGTGTCGTCTCCTGGATTTGTATCCTCCAACGGAAAACAGGCGACACCGCTCAAAACCGGTCCGCGCCGCCGCTCACTCCTTTCCTCCTCGCTTTGGGTCGCCGTGGCAACAGCAGGGAGTGGTGAAAGGAAGTCGACTCTCAGGTCTCCTCAATTTTTGACGTCAAGGCACCGGCGCCGATCGCGCGGGAACTTCGAATTCGGCATTTGGAAATTGTTTTTTTACTTCACGAATACTGAATTCCCAAATCTGAAATTTTGTGGGTAATGTCCCGGCATCGTTCTCCATCGTTTCGGATAATAAAAAAAAATATGATTTTGATGTGTCAGTGCCCCTTTAAGCGCCGTTCACACTCTTGCAACCAAGTACGACCGAGAGAAACCAGACCGGTTTTTAAGCCTTTTGCGACTTCTTAAGACCAGATGCGCGGCAGCGGAGCTGGTCCTAAGAGACCGCAAGAGGCTTAAGGCCCGTTCACACTCTTGCGACTGCTTGCGACCTCTTAAACCTGGGTTCCTTAAAACTTCTTAAACCAGAGAACACACTGGCGCCATCTATTGGGAAGCAGTGCAAACTCGGCGGTCCGGCATATTTTTTTTTATTTCTCGCGCAATATCCTTTCTTTTTTGGCTCGAAAAGCTTTTGTCAATGTTATAAACGAGCCTTTCTATGGGTATTACGCACATTTGACCTCGGAAATCCCGCAAAACCTTCGCTTTTGTGAAATGCAGTTCTAGGGTCACCGCATAGATGGCGCCACAATGTCAGTGTGTTCCCTCATTCTAGAAACATTTAAGAAGTTGTAAGAGATCTCGTCTCTCTCAGTCGTACTCGGTCGCAAGAGTGTGAACGGGCCTTTAAGGCCCGTTCACATTCTTGCGACCGAGTACGACTGAGAGCGACTTCTTAGGACCGGATGCGAGGCAGCGGAGCTGGTCCTAAGAGATCGCAAGAGGCTTAAAAACCGGTCTGGTCTCTCTCGGTCGTACTCGGTTGCAAGAGTGTGAACGGGCCTTTAAAAACCGGTCTGGTCTCTCTCGGTCGTACTCGGTCGCAAGAGTGTGAACGGACCTTTACTCCTCCTCAGCCTCCCAGAGAGTCATCCTTGCGTCAAAGGATATTTGCATTAATACATGTCAAAGACGCTTCGTTCGACGATGCTCGCGTCGTGGAGGCACAACATAAGTAACATCACTGCGAAGCAAGGCACAGTAAATTTTGTGTTACCACTGCACTTGCTATGAAGGTGCGGGAAAGGGGCGAATTCGTTTTAAGTTAAGATGCGTCTTCAATCGTTTTATTTTATAAATCAGATGAAGGTTTCATTCGGCTATCCGACGAGTAGTACAGTTGTCTGGCGGGCCATCACAAAAGTCTGTCATGTCTGACGAGGCGTGAAGCCCCTCCCTTTGATTATACAGTCCAAGGCAAAAGTTGAACAGAGAAAGAAAACTAACATTACCGGCACGAACCAGATATCAAAAGACACTAAAGAAAGAAAAAGAAAACGCATAAGAATACTGAATTAAAAAGATGTAAGACAACTAGTCACCCATAAAAATACAAAACAACAGATATTGATAACTTTCTAACCCGAACAAAACACAACACAGAAACTGGCAACACGCATTAAAAAATATATATGTATAACACTAAGCCACTGCAACTTGCCCATTAAGTAAACAAAAACTTAAAAACCTAAGCTTGCTAAAAATACTGCAAAAAAGAAACTGCACCAGAGCACAGTAACCAAAGTGGCACCCTTGAGGTGACGAGAATAAACATTCATGTTTGTCCTCAGGCTCGCCGCATACATACTTCCTTCGATAATCTTTCTACGATGAGGATGGTCACTTAGAAGGCGGGTTATTTTATAATAATACTAATAACGTTTAATTTTCCATCAAACAAATGATGGAGGGAGAGCGAGGAAATAAGCTGCATCATGCAGCTTGACGAGTCCCCGGCCTCCCTCTCACACAAACAGCAGTGGTACAAGAAAAAATAAACAAGACGCAATGACACTCAAAAAGTAATTAGGCCACAATATTAACGTTTTTCTTAGTAACGTGAAGCATACATTGAGAGTTCTTTGTAACTATGTATTTATGTAATACATGATACATACCATAGATACATTGAGAGGATACATACACAAAAAATGTCATACATTTAGATATATACACAGAAAACACGAAGGATTATAGATCTCAACGCTCTGGGAAGTACTATTAAAAAACCACACTGGAAAAAAATTCTCGAATATCTTCTCTCGATGACTTAATAGGATCAATATTTTTGAAGCTAAGGAATTTAAGTAGGTTTGGAAGCGTATAAGATAACATTTGCTCAGCATAATCTAGTCTACTTCAAGTTCACATTAATGTTAACGTCTCAGTGGTTTTCATTCGTCTATTTGGAGCTCATTAAGAAAACGAAAAAAAAGAACAAGTTTTCGTACAAAAATGGTGTTATTAAAAAACAATCACAAAGCGTTAACGGTGAGCGCTGGGTGTTTAAACAGAAAGTGATTAAGCTCTTACGGTGCTTGCGCATTGAAGAAATCACTCATCATATAATAAGTCGCCCTCGGCTCGTCCACGGCAGCGTAATGACCTGCCTTAAGCAATACGATCTCGGTGAACTGGGCAGCCGTTGTCTTGTATCCCAACAGCTTCACAGCCGAATTGCCAGCTCTCCACGTCTGACGGTTTGCGTTCCGGAACACGTCGGAGCCAGTCCAGTTCAAAGAACGTGCGAACGCCTTCTGATGGACCGCAGGGAACAGGCTGTCCATCTGTCCGTAGTAGAAGAGGACCTTGTAGGTGTCCAAGAGCTCTTCAATTTCCGCGTCGATGTTAGCGAGATAGTCGTTCAAAAGCCCAAACATGACAGCAAACATGTCCTGTTGAAAAACAACCGAATCCCCGATGTGAACGGCCTTCTTGAATTCCTTCGTCTGGACGTACTTTTCGTAGGCTAACATGTTGGCCGGTTTTGTGGCGTAGAGGGCGCTCGCTTGATTGTCGTAACCGGTCAGTTGTTGGAAGAGGGTAGGGTTTGTGTCTGAGGTAAATACTGTCTGCAACAGCAAAAGTAATGCCACGGTCTGGTTGGTCGCGGCTAGGGTTCTGATGAATTCGAACCGCGAAGCAAATTCGTCTCGGCCTTCAGAGGTAAGCATCGACACTTCGAAAAGAAACTCGTGGGAATCGGCTACTTCCAAAAGGGGGCCCAGAAATCCGGCGCCGCAGATCAGACCCTTGACGTTGAGCGGAATTTCAGGATTGTTTTCCGTGAAGAGGCTGTGGACGATGCCAACTGCGAACCTTGCTGAAAATAAACACAAAAGGCATAGCTAGAAATGTGTTCTTTCTATAGACATGGACGGGTTAAGAAAGCGGTAGACGCTTGTCCTCCCAACGCTAGCTATCTCCCTTTCATAGAACTTCGTTGCACGCAGAACCAAAGCTCGGCGAGTACAAAAGGGCGTATGCTGGTGGCGGAGTTTCTACAAAATTCTTAGCATGTTACCATCAATCGAGGGTGACAATGTCAGCCTCTATTGAGTTTCACATTTATTACGCATTGACATGCGTAGTAAACAACCTTGTCATTGCGCCGGGCGCGAGGACTTGGGAAACATTGCATCTTACAGTGCGCGGTTGCTTCTACCTATCCCATTCCTCTCTAACCCCAGTCCCACTCCCTGGAGCGCCCAGCTAGTGTCGGAACAATTAGAAAATAAGACGGCCTTGGTATATCATGCCATGGACATTCTGAACACTTAACTTATGTTGCTTAATAAAGTGCATTATCTCTCTCTCTCTCTCTCCTCTCTCTGGCTAAATCCAAAGCACTGGATCCCGGGAACGTAGCGGCTAACCGGACAGAAACAGATACTAACACACAGACGACTAAACCACGCAAAGTGATTGGCTTATCAGTCTCAGTTGCCATGGCAATCGCCATTTCGGTGCAGTAAAATCTTTGAAGCTTCAAAGGGTCGTTCTGTACTGGACACGCCAAAATCGCTATGGAGCATTATCGCACGTAAAGCGTTCCTCGCCAATTTAAGAGTCGTTAGCGCTGTGCATGCAGTCCACTTATGAATCATGCTTATCTCAACAGGTCTTTTAAACTGAAATTGTTGTTCTGGCTTATTAAAAAAAAATTCAAAGGTACCAGGCACCGGCGACATGTGTGGTGAAGGTGCGAAGATGTGCACTTCTTTCGCTGGTGTTAGTGGATAATAAAATCTCTGTATTCAAGAAACGTATCTATAAAGCTAGCCGTCACCTGCAATTTTAGGTTGGCTCACCCAGAATGGAGAAGTCAAGGAGAAATTTCTTATTCCTTGAATCAAAATGGGGACCATACGGGGAGCTTGGCGCCACTTCCCCAGGATCCAATTACATTAGCTCAATCTAGCTTCACAGCTTGACAAGGACGCGTACGCGCTCGTGCTTGTAGCTTTGCTTGCGTTTTCTCATATGCATGAAACGCAACATAGTTACTGTCAACCTAGCATACAAGCGCTGAAGCTGCAGGTATGCCATTAAAATGTTGAGCCTCGTTTTTGTAACCTCAAGGACGAGTAAAACGTTTAGGGGTAGCTCGGAAGATTTTCCGACCTCACAGAAAAATAAAGTACGCTCTTTTTCTCCAAAACCGTAAATATTTCGTAAAAACAAAATTGATTCTCTTGGGGTGCCAGAATCAAAAGAAAGTAAAACATTTTTACAGTGCAGCTAAAAGACGTAAATATTTGTAAGGACAACGTATAATATTTATTCTTTCGTAAATAAACAAAAATCAAAGTAATATGAAGCTGTTTTCTGCACTTCTACAGTCCTGGCTGGCATAGCGAATATTTAATTATTCTTTTTTTTATGCATGTCGCAACGATTAATGATTAAAATGTGAAGCTTTTGGGTCCCACGATACCCAGAGCGACGAATTAAATGTTTTGAATATACTCGTCGGTAATGTGCAGGTTAGAGTAAAGTCAATGTTGTGTCCACAAACGGACGTTTTAGAGTTTATACATATGACAGGTACTTGCAGAGAAAAACATAATAAGTTGGCACTTCTGTTCATCCGGAGTAACTAAGGTACTTAAACCGCTAACTATGTTATGCGCACAAACCAGATACAAAAAACTCACGCATCAAGTACGACGCTAAGCAACATTAATATTCTATTAGTCACAAAACACGTTTGACTTTATAATTTAATTCGAACCGCTTTTATTCTTAGCTTCAGTAGCCGATGCCCTTAATATAATTAAATATATGCGCCTAAGATGAATTTGTTCATTTAGTATAAAACGTATGACTAGATTTTTTTCAAGTAACCAAATGTTCATACCTCCATAAGATTCTCCGCCGACGTAAAAATCTCGACCATTGAACTCTGGGAACATCTTAAGGAACTGCCTGAGGAACTCCGTGATGCTCGTGGCAACATCGTCCAGGTTTTTAGCGTACCCATTTTGACTTTTTGTGTAACTATACCCAGAACCCACAGGTTGGTCGAGGAAGATCATGTTCATATTTTTCTGAAGTGTGGGCTTTCGAGGGAAAGTCTTTCCTTGGCCGTCAATGGCGAGAGGTCCGATTTCCAGGAACTGGCCGAACAGCGACGACAGTCCGGGTCCGCCTTGTAGCCAGAGTAGTAGAGGTGCATCGGAAGGATTCCTCTGAAACGAGCGACTTTGTATCTGAAGTTGTAAAACCTGATACAATGTGGCATGCTCCCTCCGTAAGCAACGTTACCGGGAGTTGCAACGAGATACGGAGATTTATGTACCTTTTCTTAAAGGACGCTTTGATCTTAATGTGAAAAACTGTTTCCTCTACCACTTCCCAAGAGGGTACAAAACGATGCGGAATTCAGGTCTGATCAGTATATAATCATCGGGACTCCGGGCGTCGTGAGTCCAGGGCACCTCATTCTCGTTTTGAAGCCAATCAAATGGCAGCATTAAGCAACGAGATTGCTCAGGAACAAATCACGTAACAACGTGCACGTAATAAGTCACGACCTGCGTTTTCTGGTGCCTACAAAGAAAACGTAATTGGAAGCCAAGCAGCAATTTACGAATACTTCTACGCTTGGAAAGCTTTTTCGACTCGTATCAAAAAGGGGCTAAAAAGGGAACGTGTCAGAGATCGTGGTGGGCCTCATATACGGTTTTTAAAAGGGTAGTGCGACCCAGGTATAGTCACACATAACGCCATTGACTAAGTAGCATCTTTGTTTCCGCGTAATTTCGAGAATAAAAGCTGAAATGTTTACTCAAATCTTGCCCTCGCGAAACTTGACTACCTCAAAAACCTCCAACGAGCGCCAAAACCTACCAAGCTGCCAGCCTAGAAAAACGACTGTGGGACTTTACTCCGCCCTTAGGACGCCCAAGAGACTAATCCACGCTCGCAATGTTAATACATCAAACGAAAGACAGTCTCCAGACACTGCTTGGGGCGTGTTTCTTTCTTGTTTGACTATCATGTCACATTGGCCGTATAAACATTATCTGCAGACATGTCAAAAACATGCATGTGTATAGAATAAACATGCTTCGAATATGCTTCAGTCGATTCCGCAGATAATTTGGTCATCATGTTGGTAGCGAACAACCCTGTCTTTCGTAATATGTATGACCAGTGTGACTACGACATAAGAAACAAAAGCTTTCCTTCTATAATACTACAACACCAAATGCGCACCTCGGTATAGAAATAATTTCAGCCGAATGCTCCTAGGGTATACCTTTGCTCGTATGTACAAGAAGAACAAGTTGCTGTCGTACTCCTTGTTGACAGTGACGTAGCCCGAATAAGCCTCTGCTCCCAGTTGACTCTTGAAAAGTCCGACTCGGCTCTCCGTCAGCGCTTCTTCGATTCTATCTTGCTCGATATAGGGTGTAAGGTACAGAGAATCATTTCTAGGGGGGAAGGAAACAATGTAATCAAGTTGTGGTAGGAACAGTTACCAGGAGGCGTTGTACCGAGCTAATTAATCCCCCAAGTGCACACGAGAATTCCCGATTCTACAGTAAACTGTTTAATGTTTTATTGTTTTCATTTTTATACGCTTTAAACATTTCAAACGTGAGGTTTGTATTTTTTTCGAAGGCGTCATTTAGATTCCCATTCATCCCCAATATTCTGGGACATTAACGCCACTTGAACCCTTCCTAGAAAGGTGTAGGCAAAACTGCCGATAATGTTAGCCGAATAACTTCATAAATCGTAATATTCCCCGGGATAACTCTATAGATGACGATGCTCGATTGAGAATGAGTGATAATCCAACAATTAAGAACGCATAGACCAACACACCGGTTACAAAACGAGTTCGCGTTAGGTCACACCAGGTGTTGGCGCTGACTCTTGTGCGGAAAATCAGGCTCTCGCCAAGTAATGGGTCTGCGCATGCGCTGTACCGATAGCAGCGCTACCGCAGCGGTGTGACGTCGGAGTCGCGTGTTGGTGTACTGGTGCAAAATGTATTTGCCCGTAAGGACAAACACATTTTGCACCATGTTGAATAAACGTGAGACAGTGGCAGAAATGAACATATAAGTCGAAGGGACTGAAAAGTGTAGGTATAAAGACAGTTTTATGAAACGGAATTTAGAAATGGTTATCAAAGGAAGGAGAGAAATGGAACACGGTGAAAGGACAAGATTTGCTGTGATCCCTAATTATTTTCATGAAATTTCTCACAACTTGAACGCATTTGAGAACAAGTTTGGTGTAGACACGGTTTTTAGCTCGGATTTTAAACTCAGTAGATTGACGCCATTTCAAAAAGAACCACCGAGAAAAATCGGTTAATTGCGAGAATGGTAAATTGCATTCCAGTGGTCTGAGATACCACTGGAATGCGGGTTTAAGTATGTAGGACAGGCATCACGATGCATCAACGACAGATTAAGTGAACACAAAAGAAACTGGAAGAACAGTGCACCGAACTCAGAAATCACAAAACATGTCCACGAATGTAACAACTGCACTGAGATTTGGTCGGAGACAGAAATCATTCACAATGAGAGGAATGAGGCAAAAAGATTAGTAAGGGACACGGTGCGGATAAAATCTCTAGGTAATTGCATAAGTCAGGCTTCGTTACAGTTCGCTAGAAATTCCACAAAAATTTCAATAATATAGTTTTTTTTTGTATGATCGGGATGTGTGTGTTGAACACCTTTGCCCCGTTCTATAGGTTAAGTGTGTGTCATCCCTTCATCACTGGCATAAAGTTTCTTTTTTGTGGAGTGGGCTTTGTTTTTCTTATGAATGTTTGTTAGAACAGCATAGTTGGTGATCCTTTTGTTAAATTTTGGGGGAGATTGTAGAGTTATCTTTGCGAAGCAGCATGAAGGCCGTCCATAGTACTACTTTGTGTATTGGAGGGTTTCGCGTCTGGACTGCTGCAACTTTAAAGGTGTGCCCTTTGTGTTGGTGGTGGCTGATCGGAGGGTTTGGCGTTTGAACTGGTTAGAGGTTGCCCCTTTGTGTTGGTGATGGCTGATTGTGAGCTATATAAGGAGGTGGACTAAATAAACCTAATAGCTGAGTTTGCGACGTCGTCCAGTCCTTTTTTGTTCCTTCGACTTATACGTTCATTTCTGCCCCAGTCTCAGGTTTATTCAACATGGTGAACATGCACCAGCTCGTCTGCATCCTTACTATATTATGTCTACATTTTGCACGCCTTGCAAAATTCGTATTCCAAACGCACATACCTAAGACTGGGCACACAAACGTATAGTTTCGCGAGAAGTTTTGTGACTATTTTTGTTTTGTTTCAGAACACATAGCAGAGGCGGTAAAAAATTAAAAGTAGAACAAAAACGCCGTCCGTGCGATTCCTATGCCCCACACCGTATGTTCGTTGTCTGCCCATTGGTTTGTGATGTTGCTCCCAGGTGGCCATTGTTCGCATACTTCGTTAAAAGTATTAATTATCACAATTATATACTATTGCTTCTTGGAGGTTTTTAGCTCAGCAAACCATCTGGGAGGGAGCTCACAAACCAGTGTGCAGACGACAAAAAGGCTGGTATAGGACATTTGAAATACACGGCCTCCGAGTTCGTTTTATTTTTTAACATTTGAGTGCCTTTGAGATGAGCTTTGTAAAAAGCAGACATAGAACGTTTTGCAAAACTACGTTTGGGTGCACACTTTTAGGAGTGTACATTTGAAATAGTAATTTTGTACGGTGTGACAAATGTGTTGGTCTTTATGGCCGCACCCTGTATACTTCTGCCTAGCGTTCGATATGTTTGTTCGAATGGGACCCTTCGGCCAGATATAAGCACCGAGAAGAAGAAAGTCCTGTTCTGTGCAAATATTATAGAAATGTGCCAGAAAAGGGCTGGTACGAAGACACGACAAAATAGGGTCAGTACGAAGCGACTTATACAAGAAAAATACGGGATCAGCTCAGGAACGATGTCTTTTATGCTTGCCAAAAACAAAGTAAACGAAAATACTTCACGAATTTTTTGGAAGTTAATTTGGATCACACATAAGGATCCGATGGGCCTATGAAAGCATTCATAGTAAATATTTCAGGCATCGACTGCAGCTAGATGTCCAATGGATCGTGAAACGTTGTGACATTTGTCAGCACGTGAAGATGACTATGACGTGCGCTTGCGGACTCCTGCAGCCAATTGAAGTCGAGGTGCCATTTTACAAATTCGTACTCGACATAACTGAACCATTCCAGGTTTCCTGAAGCTAAAAGTTACTCCGTAACATCCAAGCTTCCTCGGTGCAGAAGGTCATAAAGAGGAGAAATATCTTCAAGCACGGATGCCCCACACTACTAGTTACAAACAGAGTCAGAGAAATGGCTGCCATGATCTCAAGCACCGTGGTATACGCCACGCAAGCTCTACGTATATCACCCGCTGCTGCCAACGGCTTTGTTATGCCAACCAACAGAACATTGATGCAGATAATTCGAATCACCACTTGTTCTGGAGAGAAGTGGGCTGATGTTTTGCTTTATGTTGCGTTTTGCTGTAACACCGGATACCAAGACAACACTTCAACTTCACCCTTTAACCTCCTGAACAAGCGTTGTCCTGTTTTTCCATTGATTGCGGTCTACCACAAGAAGGAGCAGCGAGAACTGCAAGCAAGCTAGGAATTCGTGATGCTTGTGCGTGAGCGCTTGAATGATGCACGTAGGTTGGCTGCGCGACACATCAAGTTGACTCAGCAGAGAGAGAAAAAAAAATTGACAAACATCCTACTGAGATAGCGTTAGAACGAGATCAATTGGCGTTGAAGTCCACGCCAGCGGGTCTTAAAAAAGGCCGGTCCGCACCGGACCTTATCGTGTTGTCGCCAAGCTATCACCAATTTATAATGAAATTGAGTCCGGTGATGGTTTAGGGCGTGACGTTGTGCACGTAGAGAATTCGATACCGTATCTAGAATTTGTCACTGAATTTTCGCTTTCCTAGAACATTTTAGTAGGAAGATACGTGTACTGGAGTTGGAATTATCGCGCGGGACAATTTCTGCTTTATGTGCGCCTTAGGTGCCTCGGTGGGACAAATCGTGCTTTCTGTGTACATAAGTGTACCATAATACTGCTTTCGTTGCATGATGCATATATCGGGCCGATTTCTTTTTGAGTGGTGGTATCTGACGCAGGCACGTGATCGACGAAAAGAAAAGATCGGCAATAAAGGAAGGCAACAAGAACGTCAAAAAGGACGAGGACAGGACAAGACATCCTTCCTATCCTCGTTTTTTTCGCGTTTTTGTTGCTTCCTTTTATCCCGTTGACATTACCAGCACGTTCTAAGTTGTCAAGAAGATCGGGCATGGAGCTGGAAGTAGTATCCCCACGCCTCATTGAAGTCTGATTAAATAGGAAACTTGACGGCCCAACAAGCATCGTCCTAACGAACTACCGTTTTCTCAAAAAAAGGTTATGATTGTCAGCGTAGCTTGTTTTTCAGAAATATTTATGGGGTCGATCGCCGCCAAAAAAAGCCATAGAGCACATGAAGACAGCAAGGGGCGGCTGCCGGGAACGAGCTTCATTTTATCATCTATTAGTTCTGAAAATCGCTTCTATCTTTTGAACAGGACTAACGCCAAACGTTGACAGTTTCTAGCCGCTAAAGCCACATTCTGGTTAAGTTTAGGCTTGCAAAAACGCCTAACTTTTTTTTTTTTTGACGTGAATTTTTTGGGTTATTTTTTTCATATCACCTTGCAAAACCACCTCGCGTTAGGCACTTGTTTCTTATGAGCATCATACGATTTGCGAGCTTTCTTAGCATACCTTTGTATGTGTTTCAAACAATTACGACGTCATTTGAAGCTATTAACTTTAAAAACTGTGTTTGAAACGACCAAGAGGAATGTTGGCATGAAGCGCGACTCAAAACAGATGTTTTTGCTGGAAACACAGATTACAATCGTCCATCTAAAAAAGAAAAAAAGTAAGTGGCAAAGTATTTTTCTTAAGGAATGTCAAACGCGATTTTAGATCTACTAACACATTCGATCTCTGTCATGAATCCATATTCACAATGCCTCAAATACGCTCTGTTTGTTAACTTTAAATTTTTCTATCACTTTTGAGTATGTTTAAAAGTCTGTAGATTTGGGAAATATATCGAGTAATTTATTGTTTCAAATGAGAGCAGTGTTCAAAAGGTCGAATGAAACAAGTAACGGCGCAGTGTTAAGCTTTTTAAGCAATTTGTATGCCCCTCTCGTTTATAAAACAAAAAAAAACAAAAAAAATTTATTTAAGCATTTCTATATTTTGAAAAAACAGATTTTAAGTGTTGAACGATAGCTTTCATAATTTCTCTGAAACTCACTATTTGCACAGTGGGAATAATTCTATTGAAGTCAACATTTTACCCTTATCTCACAGATATATTTTATGCTCTTTCTA